TGTGGAGTCTCCTTCTCTGGAGATATTCAAGGCCCGCCTGGATGAAGTCCTGTGTAGAATGCTCTAGGAGAGCCTGCTTTAGCAAGGGGGTTGGACTAGATGATCTCCCGAGGTCCCTTCCAACCCTTGCCATTCTGTGTGATTCTGTGTGATTTCCATGGTAATGTCTCACCAAGGCTGTTTTAATGCTGTGGTGGGCAGATTTCAAAATCATATCTTTAACCTGAGAAACTCTGAAACTCTGTTATATTTTTGAAAAGTAAATTTAAATTTTACCTTTTTATTAAATTAAAATTAAATTAAAATTAAATTATTGTCTAGTCCTTTATGATACAATATCTTTCAGTAAATCTCCCTGAAAAGAGTTCCCCAAATTTTAAGGTTTGGCAGCAATATGAGGTCATATCTAGGAAAAAAACCAAAACAAAAAGCCAACAAACTAAAAACCCCACATCCCATGAACAAAAAAATACTACTGCCAAAAAGTTCTGAAACCAAATTGGCTCTTGCACAGCACCAAACTATCAATGTGAGCATTTTTAAATGACAAGGGTCAAATTAAGATGAAAGCGTTGCAGTACTGCAGTAAGTAGCTTGGCCATAAAATACAACAAAACAGGATTTGATTCTTAATAAATAATAATAAAAAATCCTTCTCAAGGATTCAGAATGTATTTTATTTTTTCATAGTTTATGCTGTTTCTTACAATGAAGTGGAAAATATATTTGGCTTGGGGTTTTTGGTTCCTAATTATCTCCTACATTCTAAGAAACCTTCAGGCAAAGACCAGTGGAATTTTTTCGCTACTTTCTCTTCTGTATCAGGATCTATAGAGCTAGACTTTGATGGTGACATATGCTTAGAAGCTTGGAGACATAATTTCCATTCTAAAGTACTTTTTTTGGTTAACGTTTATACTCCTTTGACATTCACTTTAGCTAGCTGCATGGCTTTATGAATACTGGTAGTGTGAATAATTGATTCAGCACACAGAAAGCTTTATTTAACACATTTATTTCTTTAACAGGTATATTTTATATTTGTAGTTAACCTTCATTGCACTAAAGGTTTATTACTTAAAAATATAATTCCTTTGAAAGTATTCAAATAAAAAGCTCTAGTTCACCTTATATATTTAGTTTGCAGTATGGAAGATGTATTTTTAAAGATATTTGAAAAATATTGGACCAAATTTTCTGTTGGCTTAAATTGGCAGTTTCATTTTGTAAGCGTCTCCTAGCAGTGCACTGTCAGTGCATAACAGAGTTATAGAAAAGAAAATCTATGCATTTTTGATGGAGGTTATAAAATCTCTGATTTTGACAATAGTAACTTGGCATCTATTAATTGTCAAAACTGTGTTTTGTCGCTTCAGAACTTAGTTCATATGTAACCTAGGAAGGAATCAAATTAATGTAATCTGAAACTATAAGTTTTTTTAGAATGAAAATTTCATTCAATACCATGGCAGTGTTAGAAAAATGATCAACATTGGGAAGTAGTTATTTCTGAAATCCTTTTTCCTATAAAATGATAACTAAGAGATAAGGCTGGCAAAAAGTTGAGTAAAAAAAATCATGCATTTCTTATTTTTCTAAGTGCTTTGAGAGGACTAAAAATGTTTGATGAACGAAATGTCTTCTTGTATTTGCAAAATGTAACTAAAATAAAGCGCTGCTTCTTTCTAGCTAAGTAACCTGAAACAAGTCACAGTTGTGGATGTGTCAGCAAACAAGTTCCATTCTATTCCGATTTGTGTACTCCGGATGTCTAATTTGCAGTGGTTGGACATTAGCAGCAACAACCTGAAAGATCTCCCAGAAGACATAGACAGGTAGCTTATGCTTTAATTCATTGACAGGCTTGTGAACTATAAAGCAAATCTAGAAAGTAACAAGCTTCCAAGAGACACCATTAATGAAAAATGACATGAAAAAAAGCATGTTTGGAAATGCATCAGGTAGTTTTGCATGTAAGCTTTACCATTATTATTGATGGACTAGGTTGGAGAACAGGAACTAAATTTTCTAGCTCATTAATGGCAGCTTGCACAGTTAGTGCCTCTACTGTTCAGTTAACTGGTTACATTTTCTGCTGCATTCATGATAATTTGTCGTTATCTTCAGGCATTGCTATTTGGGAAGTTCATGGGGCATATTCTGCCCCATTTCCAGCAAAAGGGACTCAAGAGTTGGCAGCAGTATCTCTGTGGAGGGTAGATGGGATGGAGGGAAAGAAGAGCTGAAGCATAGTTAAGTTACTGAAAGAACCTGATAGATTTTGGCAGTAAAGAAGAAAAATACTGGTGAGATTAAAAAAACCCACTGATGATCCTCCCCTCCTACTCTGAAGTATATATGCATGTGCACACACTCACTCTCTCAATTTAGAGATCCACTAGAACTAGTTTTAAAAAAATCATGCTGATACCATTAATGGGACTTATGCTAGCCTGAGGAAGCACTTTTCTTATCCCTGGGCCTATTTGTTCACTCTGGAGTCCTGTTGTAACTTGGTTTACAGAACCTGACATAGTCATAAGTAAATCAAAACACATATTAACTAAAGTTTATTAAAAAAAGAAATGATCTGAGCAGAGGTTTGATTAACTTCAAAGAACTTTTAAGAGGATATTTTATTTTATGGAAGGATACCCACTCAACGTAAGGGTCATTTTTTCCCCTGTAAGTATATATATTTCTTAATCTCCAATATATTACTTTTCTACATTTCATCATCTCCATTTCATACTGATTTTCCAGCCTGGACACTAAAGCATCATAATCAGACACCACAAAGTAAGGTTTTGTTTGTTTGACTTTAGGTTTTGAATTTTGAGCTCTCTTGGGCTCACGTGCATTCTGAAGACTAGAAAATGCCAGGATATTCTCCCCAGTATAAACTGACACTCTTGTTCTGACTCACGATTTCAATGCCTGCAGTGTCAAAGAACTTTCATGAACTACCATGAAGTCTGTGATTAAAAAAGAGAGCTGGCAGTAAACTGAAGCCTTACTTAAGATCTTTCCCTGAATTCAGACAAACTGTATGGACGTGATAAGCAATAGTCTGCAACAGTGTTATAGGAATGGACCCTTCTGGTCAAATAAGGAAAACTTGGTTCACCAGTTTGCTATCCTTTTTGTCTTCTATCTACTCCAATGAATAAACGCTCAGCCACAAATTATTACTGGATTAGGAAAAGCCAGGGGAAATAAAGCAAAAGAAGCCCAATGCCTTCCTCCAGAAAACATTGTCATTAAATTGATTTCAGTGGGACAGCTGCAAGAGCCGTATGACCAGGAGCTTGCCTTTCTCCATCTCCCCACAGTACTAATTACTAATGAAAAACAATAGATGGGAATATACTGCCTAGCATGGATGTATGTAGTTCATAGAAACCAGCATATGGGCAAAGGTGTGAGCTGGTGACCCATATTTTTCATTAGTTCAGAGATACACATTGTGAGGCTTTATATCATATTCTGCCAACATCTTCTGTATGAAAGCACAGTAATTTTTGTAACCTTTTATCTTGGGCATGCTTCTGAGTGCTTGCCAGAGGTATGATATTAGTATCTATAATGTTGAACCATGACTGGAAATTTCCATTAAAGTTGATGACAATTTGTGAAAGTGTGGTATGAATAATTTTTAAGGAGCCAAAGATGCATCATGTAATTGGCGTTCTTTTACACAAGATTAAGTCTGTATTGTTATTTTGGACAGATGCTCCTGTCTGAAATAAATATTTTAAGTTATCTTTATATTTTACATTTTTACAGGTTAGATCAACTGCAGACGCTTCTCCTACAGAAAAACAAGTTGACTTATCTTCCACGAGCTCTGGTCAATATGCCAAAACTCAGTTTGCTAGTTGTCAGTGGTGATGACCTGGTTGAGATGCCCACAGCTGTCTGTGAGTCAACCACAGGTTTAAAGTAAGTAAAAGTCAGAAAGAAAGGAATGTGTTCTTAAGAAGATAAGGTAGGTGAACCCAGGAGAAATACTTTCAGAAGCATCAGTTTTTACCATACCTGCTGGTCAAATTCTGACCCAATTTATGTCAGAGCCCTTAGAGAAGCGCTAGAGAGACTGGAAATCGAAGAGGAGCTGCAGCTTCCTGATTTTCATCTGCCAGTTCTCCACATTGTGCATCTGCATGCCTAAACTGCTGTGTAGATTTGGTCATACTAGCTCTGACTCTGGAGTTGCAAAGCCACGCCCCAGAGTGTGACCAGTAGTCTGGCAGTTAGCTGTTGATAAGCTCGGTGCTGTCAGAAGTATGCTTCTGAGAATAGGATACATGGCTAGTTACATGAATTTACTAGTTCATATATTCTTTGTTGTGAAACAGCACCTTGTTGTTGCATGCAGGATTAGACTAAAAGGCCTTTTAGTCTGCAATTACAATGATCTTGCATTTCTGCAGGCAATGTTCAGGTCTCTGATTATGAAACTATTTGAGACTCTATACTGGGTCTGGCTGGGACGGAGTTAACTGTCCCCATAGCAGCCCTTATAGTGCTGGGCTTTGTATTTGTGGTTAGAATGGTGTTGATAACACACCAAGGTTTTTGACTACTGTTGAGCAGTGCTCCCACAGCATCAAGGCTGTCTCTCCAACCCTCCCCCACAAAGCCCAGTAGACTGAGGATGAGCAAGTGTTTGGGAAGGGACATAGCTGGGACAGCTGACTCAAACTGGCCAAAGGGATATTCTATACCGTATGACATCATGTCATAAGAGCTAAGAGAAAGGAGAAGGGAGGCCAGTCATTTGTTATTAAGGTGTTTGTCTTCCAAAGCTACTGCTACATGTGCTGAGTCCCTGCTTCCCCAGGAAGTGGCTGGATATCGCCTGTTGATGGGAAATAGAGGATAAATTTTTTTTTGCTTTGATTTGCTTCGCTTCCATGCATGCCTTTTGTTTTCTGCATAAATTGTCTTTATCTCAGCTGACAAGTTTTTAATCTTATATTCTCCCCCTCTCCTGCTGAGGAGGCAGAGTGAGAGAGCTGTTTGGTGGGCATCTGGCCTGCCAAGATCAACTGACCTCAAATGCACAGCAATTAATGAGAAAAAAAAAAGCCATATGATTTGTTAGAATATTTTTTCTTTTGAAAGTAAAGATTTTATTGATCTTTTTCCTTCTTGAAATGATAATATCATCAGAGATTTTCAGAATGCTGTGAACTTAATTTGCCTATTATGTAAGTTGTCTATGTCACCAGCTAGTTTTTCACATGCAATGTGTGGCTTTAGGAAATTTGCAAATACAACATAATGCATATCCAGTCATGCATTGTAAAAGTAAAGTAACATAACAACAATCAAAAAATGGAGATACCTACTTTCGGCTAAGTGACACTGGCAAAATTCCAGTTTGCTAGGCAATGTTGTTAGGATGGAGTTCATACTGTTCATTAACAGATGTCAAATTACAGTGCAGTCTGTCAGAAGTTCCATAATAAAGAAATATATGTTATTGCAAAGAATGATTTATGTAGATAGGTAAATTGAAAGAGATAAATCTGATCATTTTTATATATGGAAAGTGGAGTATAGAGGAGGTCCCATTTGAAGTCTTTATTTCTAAGGAGGGATGGATCCTAATGATGCCATAATGCAAAAAATGAGCAGATGTTCTTTATGTTCCCCTTCTGGATGTAGTAGTAACTTCTAAAATATCATACATGTTGGCCAGTGATGTTCAGAAGCCTGTTGCATAAATTCTTGGGTTAATATCTTTCTAGATTCGTAAGTCTCAAGGACAGTCCAGTTGAAACTATCGTATGTGAAGACACTGAAGAAATTATAGAAAGTGAACGTGAACGGGAGCAATTTGAGAAAGAATTTATGAAAGCATACATTGAAGACCTAAAGGAAAGGGGTATGTATTAGCTTGCAGTAAAATTTCTGCTTTCTTGGGTTTAAATGCAGATATACATTGGGAACATTAATTTTTAAGAGTACAAGCAATGTACCCTTAAACTGTAGTCGACTGTTATGGTATTAAATAAGACTAAAAGTAAAAATGTTGAATGCATTTTGTTAAAAGTTTGGTCCCTAACTAAAACACTTGATATTGAACAAATGTATACAAAATTAATGGTGTGTTTGTATATGCATTAACCTTAATTCCATGATAATGTATGCAATGATTATCCTGATTCTCCAGTTTTACTTACCTCTCTTGGGATTAGCATTAGTGATTTTGAATTCCTGCAGAAGTGCTTCTTCTCCTCAAAAAGAAACACAGTATATGTAGGAAACGCTCTGTGCATTGATAGAAAATGCTTTAACAGTGTAACTGTATCTATGTACTAATTGTTTAACCACTGTAAAATTTTTGTAGTAAAATCACTGCTTTTGTCTTTATTGCACAGCACCTAAAGTTTACATATTACTTTATTTTGCTGCTACTACTACTACAACTACTACAATTATTATTGTTATTATATTTACCACAATTAAGTAACTGTCAGTCTCTTAAGTCTTGTTTAGTAAAATGTGTTAGGAATCAAAGGAGAAATTTCCTGTGAGCCAAAATACCCTATAGACTCTGTTTACATCTCTTTGAGTGTATATAGAAATAAATTCTTGTGGAATGAATGAATTATGGTATCTTTTAATTCCTTGCATTTAATCTAAGTGGTTTGTATAGAGGTCCTACAAGATCCGGTAGAAGAGAAGTGTAAAGAAAGGCCACAGGATGTAAATGCAGAATACTTTTCAAGTTTCCTTAATGTCTGTAAGCTGCACACTTGAGTGTTCAAGCCCTGTACTTCTAAAGTGAAGTCTATTGCAAAAGTGCCAGATTCTGATAAAGGTAGCAACAATGGTTAAAATGGAGAGGAGGAGAAAAAACTGAGATCATAATTTGGCTTTAGAGATACTAATGAAATAAGTAGTGATGGAGTTTTATTTACATACTTGTGAAATGCAGAGTTTAAGATAATGGCTGCCAGGCTGCCTGAAACCTGCATTTGGCCCGGTTAAACGTAAGCCAGCTTTATACTCCTTTGGGTCAAAACAGTTCAGGGATGCGCTTTTCTATCTTTCCAGACAAAACTTACCTCCATATTTTTTATGATGAGGTTGGATCATGAATCACTGTTGGATTTCCTCCTTCTGAAATCTTGCGCTGTATGTTATGCCAACACCTGATTTTGAAAAGCAGACTGAAGAAGGAATAGCTTCTGTATAATATGAGCCAGCAGAATTTATAAAAGATAGTGCAGAGATAATTTGTACAGTACCTTTGAAATAAAACCAAACCTAGCTGTTTCTAGCTAAGGGCTCCATTTATTTGTGCTGGATTACATAGCTGAAGCCTGAGATATATTTTTTTTTCTCTTTTCACAGATTCTGCTCCTTCCTACACTACAAAAGTATTACTCAGTCTTCAGCTCTGAAGATCAAAAATCTCTAAATCACTAGTGAATATCAGAATAACTATTTTTACCCACCTGAATAGGAAACAATGGAAACTATAAATGGCCAGAAGCACTTCAAAATCATCATGAATTATTTTATTTGTTACTGTAGTTGCTCCCAATAACTACAGATAAAAGAAAGAGCAGTAGAGTCTTCATAGGATGCTGTTTCACCTTTTAAATCAATAAGTCCACATCAATAGCCACTAATTTACATATAGACCTGCTAAAAATAAATACTCATTGTAATAATGTATACACAGGCATGGATGCCCTCAGGATGAAGACATTTTATATTGTAGTTGAAACAGTGGAACATAAATCATCTTAAAAAGAGAGTTGATTTTATAAGAGGGGAAGGATTAATTTAGAAAATGAATGTAATCTGTTGTATTATTAAGACCAAATAACACATTTAGTTCTTTACAATATTTAAAACATGAACACATACATAGTTGTTTGCATTTACTTTCTGTTCTTCAAGGAAATTTTCTTCCTCACTATTTTCAGTTTAGATAAGTTTCCACAACTTTATATACAGAAACTGTAACAATTCTGCTGCTTTTTTCAAGCATATTCTAAGCCTTTACCCGTTTGCAAATTCAAGTACCAATGTGACTGAAACGTCTGTGCTAAGCAGTCTTATAACATAGCAGTGTATTAAATAAGATTTTAAGGAATAAGCAGTGTGAACTAATACTATCAGCGAAATGATGATAAAGGCTTTCTATTAATGGTTTCAGATGACAGAATTTTGTGGACATTTATTGGAATTTTCCAAGTTGTATAAGAATGAGTTTGCTGGATCAAAAGTTATATTGCTTGTTATTTAATAACCTGTTCATATATAATTATGTAAGTGTATATACTGTAGAGTTTCAGAAATCTTTTCACATTTTTTTTTTGTTTAATAAATCAATACTTTTTAATCTAAAAAGATTTGGGACTTTGGAAATTTAGATGCAAGTTAGACTCAAATTAGAGAATTTAAATAGTCTTGAATTTATGAGTGCAGTCAGGAGAAATGATATTTACATCTTGCTTTTTTATTATAGATGAGCTATGTCCAGTTTTGTGCAGTAGAGTGCCACTTAAGTCAGTCATATTTAAAAAAGCAAAGCAACAAAGGATGCGCTCTTCAAGACTTTATATAAAGATACTGCTTTTGCTGTTTTCTTTCCTTTTTAAATTTTTAGCATTCATTCTTTTGAAAGAAGAGAATTTGTAAATACTAGGTGTGTTATTCCAGTCACAAACTGCTACCGTTATATTACTATCCAAAATCAAACCCTCTTGAGTTGGTCTCTAGGTGTTAATGCTGATTTTGAGCAAGTCTAGGAACAAAGAGAAAGTTTTAAAAAACTTCAAGAAAACTTGATATTGATCTGAAATAGAATAATGGAAGGTCTGAAAAGTTTCTTTAATTACAAGATATTGAAATATGATAAAATAGTGGCAATCAAAGTGGGCTTATAGAAATCAGGCTATCTGAAACTATTCTACCAATCTTTCTTTTAATGAAATTATAAATTTGGTTGATTAGGTATTGATATTGATGTAATAAACTTCTGTAAGACATCTGGTTTGGCATTGTTTGAAATTCTATTTCTAGAGTTCTATTGTAGTCTAATATGATCCACTGAAAATCATAGAAATGGAAATCACAGCTGCTGTGTTTATAGAATCAGATGCCCACTATGGCAGTTGTAACTTTAAGAAAAACTAGGAGTGCAAACATAATTAACTAAACAAAAGTTCTGAGTGCAAATTCTAGTGTCAGAACTGCTGGATATATAAACAGAAGGTACTTGGATAGAGAAGTTTTATTAGCACTTATTTAACATTGCTGCTAATCTTACTTGAAATATTTCTGCTGTTCACAGATAAGAGTGATGCAGATAAACTGGGGAACTTTCAGAAGAAACCAATACCATAAATAGAAAACATGAATTTTTAAGTTCATTGAACAGTGAACAAGTCCATTTGATTGTCAATGTTTATCAATGAAAAATCACAGTCTAGAAACAGGTTTTTTTCGCTGTAGCAGACAAACATAAGGCAGAAGACTAAAGCTTGAATTCACAGATTTGAACTAGAAACAAAAGGCCTGTTTTTCAGTAGGAGTAACCATGGGACAACTCACAAAACACTGATAAATTCTCAGTCACTAGCAATCTTTAACTTCAGATTTACTTTTTCCTCAGAAAATTGATGTAACAGTTAAGCCATGGAAAATGAAAGGTCCATGGCACAGGGGATCAAACTAGTGTTCCCCAATTTGACTTTGGACCTCTGTGAATCTAATTTTCCTAGAATCACAGAGTAATTTTGGTTGGAAGGGACCTTCAAAGATTGCCTAGCCCAACCGCTCTGCCACAGGCATCTTTCACTAGATCAAGTATTTCAAAGCCCTGTGCAACCTGACCTTGAATATTTCCCATGATGGGATGTCCACAACTTCTCTTCAGGAACACTTGTTCCTGTGTCTCACCATCCTCATCATAAAGAATTTCTTCCTTAGATCCAGTCTAAATCTACCCTCTTTCAGTTTAAAAATATTGTGCTTTCTCCTGTCAGTATAGTCCCTGGTAAAAAGCCTCACTCCACCTTTCTCATGAGCTCCCTTTATATATTGACAAGCTGCAATAAGGTGTCCCTGGAGCCCTCTCTTCTCCAGGCTGAACAACCCCAAATCTCTCAATGTCTCTCCATAGGAGAAGTGTTTCAGCCCTCTGACCATTTTTGTGGCCCTCCTCTGGGCCTGGTCTAACAGGTCTATGTCTTTCTTGGACTGGGGAACCCAGAACTGGATGCAGGAGTCCAGGTGGGGTCTCATGAGAGCAGTGCAGAGGGGAAGAATCACTTCTCTCGACCTGCTGGCCACACTTCTTTTGATGCAGGATGTGATTGTCTTTTGGGGCTGCAAGTGCACATTGCTAGCTCACATCCAATTTTTCATCCACCAGTATCCCCAAGTACTTCCCTGCAGGGCTGAGAGCTTTTATTCTTACCTCTTGTAGAACATTACTTCTTAAAATCTTATCCACAGAAAGAAAGAATTATTTTTGTCACAGAATTTGTCAAGTACCTCTGTTTAAGGGGAAGATGGTGTACATGTACTACTGTCTCCATTACACCTGACATCCAGTGGGTAATATTAGCTATAACTGAAAGTCCTAATTTCAGCATAACTGCATTTGAGTTTTACTTCTATGTCCTGTACAACATAAATACTGTAAGAACATACTTCTCATATGTTTTTAAATACAATTTTATTAGTGTCATCCATTGCAGTACAAAATATGTGTGTCAAAAGACACCACATTTTCAAATTGGTCTAATCTTTTTGGTTTTGTACCCAATTTGGTTTTACTTTAAACTACTATCTTTCACTAAAAAAGAACACTTCCAGAGAAAAGAATTATGTTATTGGCATGTTGCATACTTTCTTTTTCAATTTTTGAAAGTAAATAATTTTACAAATGAAAGGAATTGTGTGTACTATTGGTAGTTTATGCTATTTTCAAGCTTCTGATATCAGATATTTAGACACCTAGAGGAAAGAAATGTGTTTTTAATTCTGAGCTGCAAAATCTACATGCATGTGTTGTGTACACCACTTTTGTTGGCTGTAACTAGCTGCCAAACACTACACTTCCTAAAACTTGACCCTTCCCTTCTGCTTCACAGGTAACTGCTCTTCAAAAACATCAAGACTGAGAGCAATTGAAATATGTGTTATACTCACTGTCTCAATATGCAAAAGTAAATCAGATAATTACCTTTCATTGTGTTCTTTTTCCTTGTTCTGTAATGTTTTGGCCTGTTTTTAAGGATAGCAAAGTATAAGCTAGGAAGATGAACTTATAAGGAAAATAAATAACCTGAAATTTAATTAACGAATACCTGGGAATAACAGAGTCTTACATCAGATATTGGTTTAAAATTTACAGTTAACACTGGATAATATATTGTTTTTTTTTTTTCCTTGAACATTTACTCACCATCAAAACTGTTTTACTGGGTTTATTTTCTGCAAAGGAAGCACTGAGTGAAATGATAAACAGGAAATGGTCTTTTCTTGATGATGTGACTTGACTTCAGTAGCCTCTAGGTCTTGGTCTGTGGAGGATTTCTGTAGAGATTAGGTCCTGCTTCATAGAGAATGGTAGGAGATTGGAAAGTAGGTACTTTTTTTTTCTGGTTTTGAGGCCTCATTTGAACTAGTCCTAATGAACTGTAACTCAGCATAACTTTGGTTATGTACCTCTCAGGCCACCCTTCTCTATGTTAAGAAGTTCAGGAAGAGTGTCCTCTCTTTTCAATAGCTGAATCTACTACTTGGTCTGATTCTAGCTGTGACTATATTCTACCCTACAGCTTGCTCTCATCTTCACTTGTTCATTAACAGCTGTGGGCGTTGCTTAGTGTAAGTAGTGGATCTGCATAGTGTTTTCATTATGTGCTGACTGAAATTAATATGAAAGGATCATTACTATCTCTTACCTCTCCCTGGAACTTCCTGTCTTCTTTTTGACAACTGCAACGTAATTACTTGAGGGTTAGCAAAATCTTAGTAAAGATGCATAAAAATATAATGTCTCTGCTATGTTCAGAGCTTCAACTTTCCACTAGTGCTTCAGCCTTTTCCTAAAATCAACAGTGACATTTATAAAGTAATTAAATTAGCTGTCAAAACATAGTGAATAGATCTGTAAGAAAGGATATCTACTTAGAGAACTAAATATCAGTTTTAGGCTATACAAGAGAGATGTTTGAATCCAGATTTACATATAAAACATTACATTTTCTTTTTCATTTTTTACGCAGGTCTAGACAAGATGAGGCTGAGTCAGCCTTTGGCCCTGTGTATTGTGTAATGACATAAAATAATATGTTTAGAAAAAATAATGTGTTACACTGTAGGGCCTTAAGCTGATAAATACATGTGGTGCTCTTCTGAGCTACTGAAGCTGCTG